GCATTGTTAGCCTGTAAACACTTAGCCTTAGAGGAAATCATATTGCAGTCGTGTAGATACTGCCACTTTATTGTCACTAACATTTTACTTGAAGTACTAAATTGCTGCATGGCTTAGATTCCAGGTTGTTGTTTTTTTAAAATATAAAGAAGATTGGGCATGCGAGCCCTAAGAATTTTTTTTTAAAATAAATAATCCATACATCACATTAGTCCAATTGACAAGTCTATCCCAGACCTCAGGGGAGGAACTAATAAACATTTAGTTACTTTGCTATTGTTTTCCGAAAACAATTTGACTTCCTTTGCGATAACCCTGAATTCCTTCATTAAAAATAGAGAGGCTGAGAGCCAGAGGAAGTGCTTGACTGGAGCCAAGTCACTGCTTACAATAACGTTTTTTTTGGGACCACATTTATATCCCAATTCATGGTGATGACTCTATAGGAGGCTGACAGCTGCTGGGGCATGTCATACATCACGCAGAAGCTGGAAGACCCTCCACTCGGCTTCTTTCAGATTTTTTGGGATCCTTCAGCCAGCCGCCTGATCCCAGACAAGAAAGCTTGGAGCTCCAGCAACCACCTGAACTGTGTTTATCTCACATCAGACAAAAATCCGTACTGGATCTAAATAGAAAAGGTACAGTCCTGCAAACTCTAAAAGAGATCTGAAAGCTAATGGATTAGTAATTTTATTATTAGCAATTTTTTAAAATTTGGTGATCATGGTTTTCTTCTGTCTGGTCAAAATATATAAAATATATTATATTTTTAAATTTAATATATTTAAAATAAATTATAAAACTGTATTTGTGTATGTGTCCATGATTCCATTTCATTCTACAGTGTCATACTTACATTTAATCCAAGAATTAGCAGATATTGTTGAATACAAATATGCATTTCTATAGTTTTGAAAGATGACATTGCTACATGATGCTTGGCAAGTAATGTATTATTGCAAATGTATATTCTGCAAGATAATCTGATAAATTAGATGTCATTGCAGTCTTGCAGTTGGGGGGGGGAGGCTTCCAGATGGGGGGGGCTCCTAACCCTACCAATCCAAAAAATTTTCTCTGGTTTTTTTTGTAGATTTTTTTTGTAGATTTTTTAAAAATACATATAGAATTAATTATGGGAAACATAATTAATGACAATGCAAGATCCCCTAAAACTATGATAATAACTGGAGTGCCTGGATGATGACTGCCTTTTCTGGAAGAAATCCACATCCTAGAGTAGTAAGTGGGATTTATACTCAGATAAGTGCACAGACACTGCCTATACTAGACGAATATTCATGAGATTGGCATGATAAAAAGACTGAGGATTAATGAGCAAAAGTAGCTCTAAATAATGAATTTCTGTTCAATAGCTATTATAAAAACCATGACAGCATATTTAGAAATATGTTCTCCTTTACGTACCGGTAAGTATCCTGACATTTTATTATTTAAATCCTTAATTTTGGCTCATAACACAAAATAGATCATCTGAATTGTTTCAGGACCTTCTGAACTATTACTTGGAATTTCTGTCTGTTTTTCGGTTGCTGTGCAAAGTGACTGACTAGTGAAGCATGTAGAATGAAAATAGAATAAATAAATAGCACTTGCTTTCTCACCTTCAGAGGGAGAGGCAAAGAAACAGGGGAATACACAAATTGGCCATTGCCATTCTGGTTATCCCAAAGGTTTTTTTTCAAGAGGCAACTGGACTTTCTACACTACTATTAATCTTCTCATCGTTCCCACCACCCATCTCCTTCCACTTATGACTGTATGACTGTAATTTTGTTGCTTGTATCATTTGTACCCTGCGACTATCATTAAGTGTTGTACCTTATGATTCTTGATGAAGGTATCTTTTCTTTTATGTACACTGAGAGCATATGCACCAAGAAAAATTCCTTGTGTGTCCAATCACACTTGGCCAATAAAGAATTCTATTCTTTGTTTTTCTTTGAAAATGGTTCACTTCTCATTCAACAAGTTTCTTCAGTTCTCGGATGAGAAGCGAATCATCTTCAAGGAGAAACAAAGTCCAGTTGCCTTTTGAAAAAGAACCTTTAGGACAGCCATGACCTGGATAACTGAGAATCTCAGTCATTTGGACATTTGCCATACCTGTTGTTCTGACAGAACGCCTGCCCGGATTCGTTATGAAAGCTTGTAGTATGGACATGGTCTTGTTTAAGCAACTTCATATTATGTTGCTGCAAAGGCAATTGAAAATGCTTGCATGAAAGACAAGCAACTCAACATTGCAGTGCAAAATTGTCCTCATTCTCAGTTATATAACAGTTCACATTTCATCTCTTTTTCAGACTTTGGCACAATTGACAAATAAATAGGATACATTATCAGGGACCATTCCCATTAAAATAAGGAACATACTTTCTAGCAACTTGTATAGGATCATTCTGCATATTTATTGTAAGTAATAAAAAATAGTTAAGATGCCAGGAAAGGCAATCTAGGTAGAGTGGATAGCATATCCCCACTTACTGTGTGTCCTTGGCCCATTCTTATCTCTCAATCTGATAGATGTGAATGACTGTCACAAGGGATAAACAGCTGGGGATAGTCTTGTATATAGGCTTGGGTTTGGGGGAAAGGTATAACCAAATCAATAGATCTGTAAGTTTATTTTTTGAATTGATAAATTATAGTCTCTTTTAGACTTTCTTTCAAGTGGTGAGAAGGTAGTCCCTGGATATCAAAATCTTGCAAGGACTGTCTTGAAAAGGAACATCATCACTTTTTGTAAGATTTAACAATATACAGATTGAGCAAAATCAATTGTCCTGCACTGGATCTGCAAAGAAAAGAAACCACCTACCCACCTCCGAATCTTTGCCAAGTTTCCTATCTTCCTAATTCAGCCAAAAATACAGCCTGAATGCAAAGGCTTTGGCCTTTTCTCACATTTTGCTTCTAATTGGCTCAAGAAAAGGTGTGATGTGATCTATTTTTCTTAGGTCATTTTACCAACAATCTCCTATATCAAAGTTGTGCCTCGCAATAATGTCATTGAATCTATTACCTGGGTCTGTGAATCCCTTACCATCTCCTTCCTTTAAGACTTCCATATTAGCTCTAAATTTCAGCTTTGCGCAAACTTGCTCATTCTTCTTAAAGTGCCATAAAAGGGATATTCCTATTTTACATTTACATCAGGTTTAAAAGCCTATTTGTTAACTCTGTTTTCTTGTCAAAGCTTCAAAGGTTTTTTTTTCTTTTTTAATTAGAATATAAGATATTTAAAAACAAATGATATTCATTTTCAAAAATCAATATTCATTCAATATATTAATCAACCAGTATACTAATCCTCCCCCCCCCCTTGGTTTACCCTTTGCCTGTTATTAGCATTATACATTTCTTCCTTCACTTCTTACTATGCCTTTTCACACTTGCTTTTCTGATTAACCAACTGTAACCACTGTACATCATGAGTAAGCCACTTACACCTCTAAAACTGTTGGGCCTTGGCCTAAAGACTGTCTGCAAGAATCAGTCATTTGGCACAATCTCTATTATCAGCTTCCCAGCTAGGCCCCTAAATGGGAAAAGTCTCCCTGACTACCAGTTCCATTTGCTGCTCTAACAGGAGTTATGAATACAGGATCTCTCCAAAATTATAGACTTTGCTGCTTTAGGAAGACTGCAACTCCCTTCATCCTCAAAGCTGAAGCCAGTGTTGAGCCAGAATGGTCACTGAAATGTAATAACTTCATCCTCAACAGATTTAGCCTAAGCTTGTTTTGGGCTCAAGTCCCTTACAGCTCAAAGGACCAAGATAGGATTTGAATGATAACTCTAGTCTGACCTAATGTTACTTCAGTCATCTTGATGGGTTATCTTCCCCAGCAGCTTCATGTAACTTCATTACATAACATCTATATTACATAACAATGTGTAGCTTCATTACATAACATGGGGAGAGGATCAAGAACTTTAAAACCCCTCACTAAAGCAAACATTAACTTTATTACTCTTTCTCATGCATAGCAACTGGAAATTTAGAAGTAGTATACTATTATTAAGCTCCAACTCTCATAGCAAATTAATTATATTGAATGACACCTTCCACTTAGATCATAATACAGATCACTTAATATAAGGATAACTGGGAATGTATCCATCTCATGCCCAGGTCTGAATCTTTACTCAAAAGAGCCATAAATCCATTTCCTATGGAAACCTCTAGAGCTGACACTGAACCATCTTCTCAAAAAAAAAAAAACAAGATTGGCAATTGGCTGATAATTTCAGAAATAGGTGGACTCAGAGGTGATCTCTTTAGAAAAGGCATACCATACCACCTCCTCTTTAAAGGGCAGCTTGCACTAACCCTTTCCTTAAAGGGTTCCTTAAAGAAGATTGATCTACTCCTAAATCCTGTCAATTATGACTGCCCAGACATACAAACAAGCTTACAAAGACCATGTATTGAGTCCATCAGTAACGTAGTTCATGCCCCAGAGGGTTCTTTTGCTTCCTCAGTTTTCACAAGGTCTGAAGAATCCCAGATGATCTTAAAGGACCTTGCTGAAATTATCTGGTGAAATATGTAGGTACATTTCACATTCACTCAGGTACTGATAACAAGCTCCTGAAACCATTTGCAAACTTCAGTTGACGAGGATAAAGCAAAAGCAAACTATGTTGAATTTCAGGGGATTGGAAATACTGTATATTGAAATTATACAAATCTTGATGTGATAAGATTCAGTATGAATGGTGCCTTATTCATTGTCGTTAAGCTGGTTGCTTTGCCAGCAAAGTCCACAAACTTCTGATTCTGTTTTTAACTTTCCAGGAATGCAGTATAATTTATTTCTATCTTTCTCTGCCCCTAAGAAACACACCTTTGATAAATGAGGGACTTTCCGGAGAAAGGATTGTTCTTTCATTGGTTGAGTTTTTCAGAAATAACTAGGGGCAACCTATTTCTGCCCCACCCATTAACATCAACCATTCTTTTGCTTTATGAGTGGTGAAAACTTTTTTCATAGAGCTGCAACTGCAAAGGGATTCACACTGTTCCTCAGTTACAAAGAACACTTGACAAGCCGTACTTGCTCTCTTGACAACCGAAAACAGCACAACTGAAACTTGCAAAACATCAGTATTTATGTAGGAACAACTGCAAATATAGACCATGGAGGAAAAAAGAAACCTATAAAATTATTTGATTTTGCCAAAAGAGTATCTAGGAAAGGGGTGAGCAAAACACATGATGGAGAAGTAAATACACATATAAAGAGAGAAGACAGTAAGTGTCTGACAAGCTGCAGATGGAGAAAAAAAATGAATAAAATATTGAACACAAACTCCTAAGGATCTATGCTGGATAAAAAGAACAGCTAATTTCAAGAAAAAAGTTAGGTAAGTAAAAAACGCTCTGAAAATCATTACAAACAGAAAGCTGGATTGTAATGAGATGGTAAAAATTAGTCACTTCTATCTTGAGAAAGAAAGCTGTATTTCTAAAATACAATTTAGAGGGTAAACTGGTAGCTTTTTAGAGTATAAGAATTTGACATTTTTATATTACACTTAGCATATTTTAAAGTACATTAGCAACCACGATTAATTTAGTGATATAACAGGTTCCCTTTCATTGTGTACATTTAAGCTTATATCAGAATGACTGGAGGAACCCACTTTCTAAATTGGGATGCAACTTTGGGGCAATTCAAAAATGAGCAAGAGCAGTGCTGTAATTTAATATGTTTTAACTTGTTTTTTCCCCCTCATTTCTATGTTCCCTTTGTTAGTCAATGCTAAACTGCATAATATTTTTAGAATTGGACTTTCAGAACATTGGGGGACACAACACACTGTGAAGTTTGAAATACATTCTCTTATTGATATTTTGTAACCATATTTATAGCAATATACAATTGATCCATCTTTTATAGTTGTAGAAATAGATTTTTGTTGCTAATGAATTTTATGGGGGGAGTTAATATTACAAGGAAAAAATTTATAGAATTTTGCTTTTAGCTTCTTGCAGAAACAGTGCAGTTTTATACATTTTTGCTCAGGAGGTTAGATTGGACTACAGCTTTCTGCCTTCTGATTTGAGGCTTGCTTCTGTTTAATGATGTAGAGAGGTATACTATTAAATAGTCTATTTGCATGCTGATTTTGTCCCATACACCTTTAATTTTAGAAATAGCAGTAAGGATAGCTATAAGCACATTCTCCTGTGATTTGGAAGCACAACAGTTTATTAACTGCAAGCTAGAGATAAATTATCCTATAGAACTAATACAACAATTTCTTATTATATTCTTATGTCATCAGATTTATAGTAAAATGTACATAGAAAATGAAAATTTGCTATTAATACATGCACATCGCTGGTAAGGATATGGTTTAAAATATTATTTTTTCTTGGTATTTCTAGAATGCTAGAGTTTGCTTCATCAGGAGCAGAAGTTCCACTGAATTAATATTGCCTGCAATTCATAAAGGAAAAAAAAGCAAACCAAAAGAATGCAAATGACAAATACCAAATAAAATATTTTGAGTCGCTTCAAAATTAGATGGGCTGCAAATAAATTTAATAAATAAAAATAAAAATATAATTTTGAAATTTCCAGGACATTTTTATTTGTTTTAAATATCAGATTATCTAAATTAATATAAAAAGAGAGGGAATTGAAGAAGGTGTGGTTTAATTTTGTGAAATTGTGAGGATTTCTCTAGCATCTTCTTTAGCATCAAGGCTTTTCTAAGTACTAGACTGTGTTGAAGGCTCAATCAGTCAAAAGCTTGTTAACAGATAAAGATTCTTCTCAGCATCAAATACGGCTCCATAAATTGGAGGTGGGGGACAGGGCATTTTCTGGGTGGTTTTTTTTTCCAGTTTCCAAGATTAGCCCCAGCTTCAGAGACTGCACATGGTTAGCCAGTTGCTGCCATCATATATGAATTCTTCTGAAAAGATTTTTAAATATAGCATTTATCCTAGCACTGATTGAAATATACAGATTATGAAACAATGATTGAAAAATGTGATCACCTCTTAGGTAATACAATAAGGAAGTGTAAAAGACATAACTAGTTAGACAAACTTCTTTCTCACAGTTTCTTAGCTAAATTTTGGTGTGAGAAGTTCAGACTGATGAGATTCAAGATCACTTGGGAATGATGCCAAGCACAAATATTGCATTCTTTTTTTATTGCTCTATTTTGCCCTTGGAATGCTAAAGCTAGAAGGATTCAGAAACATGACATAATGTGCTATTTATTTTCTTTCTCTATCTGGCTTTGAGGGCAGATTTCACACATCCATCTCCACTGTCCTTGTCTTCGTCACATGGCACTAAAAAAAAAATAGAAACAATGAACATTATATGTCCTGAAGAAGAATCAATTGTGCTTCATTCCTTGGTAAAACAGCAAACGAATTCTTTGTTTATAGTAACATAACCAGTAAATTTGCTGACCTCCTTAAGAAAGAAGAGTTGGGGGGGGAAGTGATTTTTGGAGAGCCATAATGCTGTGTAGAATGTGTAAATTGCAGATCATGTTACTCTGACATTTAGCAGCAAATTAAATAATAATGTTATAAAAATGTTAGGAACTTTAATTAATTTAGCAAAATTGCAATTGAATTTAAATATGGGATTATTATTACATATAATGAGGATATAACTGTCCAGGTATGTAACATACCAGAGGTGGGAAGAAAGTATATTTTGCATGGATTTCTTGATCTCTAGCTGTTTAATGGAGTGATCATAATTTTTATTTATAATGTAGTTGGTTATACAGAATTAATTTTGTCACTGCCCCAGAACACATGCACAATTGCTACTCAAGCATCAACCAGAGTACCCCTTCCTTAGCCCTTCCTCAATGCTTCCAATTCCCAATTTATGCCATAAATCAAAGCATATCTAGTATAAATTTGGGGCCCTTGAATCTAGAAGATGAATTAGAATAAGCTTCCAAACATATTGTTCTCATCGCTCTTTTGCAAATTCACATTTGAGATTGGACAGAAAGAGATTGACATTTTTCTTCCTTTGTTCTTGGATGTATCCTCAATCCTTTACACAATAATGCAAGAAAAAAAAAACTATTACAAATATTTCACACTTGACAGTGTGTGCACCAGCTGCAGCCCAGTGTTTCCTGATCTCTGGAGGTTGTTAAATGGTTTCTTCTGGACTAGGACCCACCTTATGTTATGCATGAGATATTATTCCCAGTTGGGATACTTTGGTCAGAGGAAAGACAGAAAAATGAAGGATGCAGATATTATAGACCAATAACAATGTTTATGGAAGTTGGTAATAAAATCAAGGAAGAACCTGAAGGAGAAATAAGAGATAAAGGGATCCTAAAAGATAGAGTTAGGAATGCAGGTTATTATTAGAGATACAAAGAGAGTGGGGACTTTCTTACTGGTCTGGAAAAATCTAGTTTAAGTTGCAGTTACTGTTTATCTTAAGCTGTGAGTTGTTTCTTTAATTAACCAAACAGTATCAGATGAAAGACAGAAGACATGCACTCTGTGACACTTTTCTGCAAAGCTTAAGCATATAAGCACATAATACAAGTATTTCTTCTGAGGCTAAAGATTGCACTGCATTTTTGCTATTTGATGCTTTTTAACTATCCTCCCTTTCAAAATGTATTCTTAAAAAAGCAAAAGTTCCTTGTGCTGGCTGCAAACTAGTAAAACTTGGAGAAATTCAGCAGCATCAGCTGTAACCTTTTGTTTCAACTGCCTTAAAACTATGTCAATATGTCCTAATCTCTCTAGGTTGATCAAAATTATTTGGCTGTCCTCGCATACGCAACACCTCCCAATTTAGTACCAGCCCTACGATTTTCACGCTTAGTCATATACTGGTTAACTTGACACTGAAGTCACTGATAACGAACGAGCAAAACTAGATCTAACACCCATCTGGGCAGCAGCCTTCTGTACACTCACACCCAAGGTCATTATCTCCACTTAGCATTATCCTTTGGTTAGAGTCTGAAGCTAGTTTCTCAAGTATTCAGCAGCATGCATTGGAACTTCAGTATCAGAATTTATTTAAAGCTACAAATGCTTGAAATAAATCTGGAAACAGAACATCTGTCAAGCATTCTAATTCCAGTGCAGCTGAAAAATCAGTCAATTAAAAACAATAAGCTGTGTTTCTCTGGATGGAGAGTGTGTAGTGGTACCAAGCAGTGGTGGATTTTAACCGGCATTACCACCAGTTCGCTTTGCACGTGCGCATTGCATTTCAGAACAGCTGAGGTGCGGCAATCCGCTCTGCTGCGCCTATCAGCTGGACTAAAAACAAACGAATATAGGTAGTATAGCGCAGGGATGGGCAGGAGGGGCCAGCTGACAGTCGGAGCAAACCGGTTCACTCTCACCTTACCATCACCTCTACTGGCTCGCCCGAACCAGGACGAACTGGTAGCAACTCACCACTGCTACCAAGCAAATGATGTTCTGTAGCTATTGTAACTTTGCTTTTTTAATTCTCTCTTCATTTTGAAGAAGCAGTGGTGGCAGAAGCAATGGAAAACGGGGGCTGGGTAAGAGAAGACTGCAACATCTAACCCCTTAAATAAGACAAACAGTATAATATAGACTCAGTTGGAAACACTAACTCATGTTTTCCTATTCATCTTCTCTCATTATTTTTCTTTTAGCTAAGGAAGATAAATCTATTAATGAATCAGAGATGGACAGCTTGAAAAGGCCTCATGACTGACAGTGCTAAGAATTCCCTTGAGTCTTTCTTCACTAGAGTTTCACAGTGAAACCAGCCCTTCGTATAGTTCAGAGTTTCTCAATCTTTGCAAGATGTGAGGACTTTGATTCCCAGAATTCCCCAGCCACATTTGCTGGGGGTTACCAAAGCTGAGAAGCTGCCAAGGCTGAGAAACCCTGCTATAGTGAGAGAAAAAAGAGCCACCATTGTTTTAACTTCCCATACTATCCAGGTATGTTGTGGCCACCAGAGAAGACAGTTGGGATGATGGTGCATATGGGATAGTCTAAAGCAGTGTTTATCAGAATGGCTGACTGGGGAATTCTTGGCGTTAAAGTCTACACATCTTAAAGTTGCCAAGGTTGAGAAACACTGTCTAAAGCTTGGGAATATGAACAAATAAGGTTAAAATCAAAGGGTGTATTATTCCCTGAAGATATTTTGAACCTATTTTCTATGCTGCACTGATTTAAATTAAAAAATGGCAACAAATAGCATGCTTCCCTTATTGTCTTTATGATAATCTGCATTTTAAGGTGATATTTTCATGCCTTTAATGTCTTTTAAAGCCACTTACAAAGGCTTGACTGCTATGCACAATATGTCATCCAGATGTGAAGGACTTCAACTCTAATAATCAGTGCATTGCTAATGGCCATCTATAAAAGAATTAGAATCCAATATATCTGGAGGTTATTAAGTTAGGGAAGACATTTCTATGCCCTACACATTGTTCACCATAACTCCTTTTTTCTCTTTTGCCCTTAGACGTCAGTCTCCCAATTGAATAAACATGGGTGATTGGAGCTTCCTAGGAGAATTCCTTGAAGAAGTCCATAAACATTCAACAGTAGTGGGAAAAGTCTGGCTGTCTGTCCTTTTTATCTTCCGGATGCTTGTCCTGGGCACAGCTGCAGAATCTTCCTGGGGAGATGAACAGTCCGATTTCAAATGTGACACCCAGCAACCCGGTTGTGAGAATGTTTGCTATGACAAAGCTTTCCCAATCTCCCACATCAGGTATTGGGTCCTTCAGATTATCTTTGTCTCCACACCATCCCTGTTATACATGGGTCATGCAATGCATACCGTCCGTATGCAGGAGAAGAGGAAACTTAAGGAGACCAAGGAAGAAGCAAGGACAATCCAGAACAAGTGTGACTCTTTTTCCCAGCAGGATTACCCAGCACCAGAGAAGATAGAGCTGTCCTGCTGGGATGAACCCAGTGGGAGAATAATTCTTCGGGGCACTTTGCTGAATACCTATGTCTGCAGTATTTTAATCCGTACCACCATGGAGGTTGCTTTCATTGTTGGGCAATATATGCTCTATGGAATCTTTCTGGAGACCCTCTATGTCTGTCACCGGCAGCCCTGTCCTAATCCAGTCAACTGTTATATCTCTCGGCCGACAGAAAAGAACATCTTTATCATTTTCATGCTTGTGGTAGCATCCTTCTCTCTCTTCTTAAGCCTGGCTGAACTGTATCACTTAGGATGGAAGAAAACTAAGCACACCTTCTCTCAGAAAATCAGCCCTACACCAGCAATTGGCAAACTGGAGGGAGACTCTCAAGTGAAGACAGATGAAAACTGCACCCCTCCTCCAGATTTTAATCAGTGTTTAGCCAACCCTACAGGGAAGTATATCAGCCCCTTCAGTAACAAAATGGCCTCTGAACAAAACACGGTCAACTTTGCAACAGAGGGGGTCCACAATCCAGATGATTCAGGTGGAGAAGCCCCCTTTATCCAACTAAACTACATGCAACATCCAGAAGCCACTGTAAATTCTGCACCAAATCTGATACCAAATGGATACTTTCAGAACAAACGCAGACTCAGCAAAACTAGCCACACAAGCAGTAAGGCAAGGTCTGACGATTTGTCAGTGTGAGGTGCTTCTAGTGGAGCTAGAAGAAGGGAAGAAGTTGTTACGGCAAATGCCTGTAGTTAAATTTTTGAAATCTTGTCAGTCTAAACTCTGGATCAATTAGCTTATGAATTCACGCTTAGCTGACATATTCCAAAATGTTTCTTTGCATGCTCTGAACCCATTACTGTTCCAAAATAAAAACTGTTTCATTTCAAAACAGCAAAGTAACTTTAGCAGTTACATGGTGTTCTTATACTTCAGATGATTATCTCATTATCCAGCACTATAAAACAGTATAATCATTGCAATTTCTCCAAGAACCTTGGAAATTATAGTTTGGGAACAATGCTGAGGAGTCTCTGTTCCAAGCCCTTGCACAGAATTACAATTCTCAAGAATCCTTGATTGGACAAAGGAAAGGAGTAAATTATAATTCTGAAGAAAAACTCAGGGCATTTCCACAATCCTCTGTGGGATTGGCTCCAAGTGGAATGGATTCATGCTGTAATCTCTTTTTGTGAATTGAGTCAGGTTATTTATGACTCTTCTCAGGTGTATTTAAAACTTTTGAATTTTTTTTTGTTTTAGATCACAGAGGTTCTGCAGACTTTCTGGGCAGTCTGTTTTCTCACTTGTGATAACTATTGTCTTAACCTTCCTCTCAGTTCCTGGGCTCAGGTTAGCTATTATTACCAATCTTCACAGAAGTTCAACCTTCACTGACCTTGACTCTTCTCTATCCATTATTCTTTATGCCTTTCCACCATAGTCTTCTTACAAGCATGGATACAGTTATTGGAAAAAGTCAGAAAGAAATTTAACAAGTGATGGGGACATTTAAATACAAAAATGGAACAGTGGCAGAATAGATAAGAAGTCTTTGAACAACTTCAGATGTTTTGCTTACTTTCTTTTTCTTTTGATTGAACTTTGCTGCTTCAGCTTCCCACCATTGCTGTTTTTCAGATTGTTTTGCCAGCACATAAACCCATATTCTAAAAACACATGGATAAAAGGACAGTAACAATTTCTGAGATTTCATCTTTGTGTGGAAAGAGGTGAGGGGATTCCATTATTCCGCAGCTGACAGCAATTCAGGAAATGGAGCAGTTGAATTACATTTGATATTCTCATTTTGATAAACTAGAGGATGAGCATTGACTGACTCGTGGGGGTTCCTCCATTTTCTGAGTTTCAAAGACAACTAATGTGAAGACAATAGATCAGATTGAAAAGGCTTCGTGACGGATTTGGGGGAGGACTGTGTGGGAATGTTACTGAGTGGAATTTGCAAACTAAATTTACAGCGAGTATCGTGTTGTGAGATGTGTACAAAGGAGTTGAGGGGTGGGGTATATAGCACTATTTTTTCTCTCCTTCGAGATGAAGCTCAAGCACTGGCTTCCCAAATCTTGGTGTAACTTCAAATTCTTATAGTGCAAACATGGGGCCAAGGCCTCTCCACATCTCTTAAAATCATTGGACCATTTGAAACCATAGCATACCAACAAGCTATCTCCCTTCTAGAAAACTAAAATATTGCTTTTTCTTTTTTTCTCAAAACTATATAGAAAACCATGCTAGTACCAATTAAAATGCAATGAAATCTACTTGAATTTTTGATGTATTTGTCTATAATAAATCTTGAATTCTGTATGGCCTCATAGTGTTAAACATGCACCAGCTCAGGGGGACAGCAATTAAAAATACTTTGTTATTTTAACAAAAATATTAATATAAAGTTTTCTTCTGAAATTAATACTCCTGTATGAAACATGAATTAATACTCTGTGGAACCCTAATAAATTGTGGTTTTTTTAATATGATATTCTCTATCCATTTTTAAGTTACTGCTGCTGGAAACATAGTCACTAGGCCAAAATACGTCAAGGAACAAAAAAGAAAACAAGATCACAGAGGCAGACAATCTTACCACATCCAAACATAATGTTTCTCTTTAGTAATTTTTTTCAGTATGACGGTATCATAGGAAGACAGCTGTTAATTATGCTGTAACATCCACTGGAAAATGGAGTTTAATTTCATTAAGTTTTGAAGAAATTTATTTACAGTTTCAGGTGTGGACTTTTTTCTCTCAACCAAATTGTGTTAAGCCTACTCTGAAGACTTACTGCAATTTTTTAGCTAATAGCCAAAAATATTCTATTAATTTTCAGCAGTTAGAAGTGGAATTTTATGGGCATGACCCTGTTGAGGCCAGAGAATGCCTAAAAAGTTGGCTGGATCTCTTTAAGAAGTTAACAGATCAAAGTCAGTTCTGGTTGTTGCTGCATAATTGCTGTGCTGAAATAGGTAAGCAAGAGACACTGGTGGAAAATGAGAACTGGGGTAGCACCAGGAGGCATTGTCAGGCAATTTAAGAAGTCAAGAAAATATTTAATCAACCAAATCAGAAGATTCTTGTTCAGGAGTTGGAAAGTGACTGAAAGATAAACAATTTTTATAGCAATTTTAGTCTAATCTAAATTCATGCAACATCTACAGGAAATACAATCCTCATGTAATAGTATGTTTCTGCAGCTTTGGGAAGTAGAAACACCTGTTCCTGGCCTTGAGACATTTAACTTCAAGCTGCAAAGGGGCTAGAAATATTTGAATTTATTTACATGAAGCCAAAGGCTCTGCTTCTCTTCCTACGATTTTCTAAGAACATCTTCTAAGAACATTTGAGTCACTTTTACTTGTTAAGCCACTCACACATGACTATTTTGATTGGGATTATTTTTTAATATGGGATATTAAGTCAAATATGGTTGCTACATTTTCCTTTAACAAGCCTGTGAACCCTGTAATTTAGGGTAGATGTTCCACCCAATATCACACAATCAAGGTTTAATTCGCTCATTTGAACCAGAATAATTTAAGCATCAAACGGATAGAGAACTAAGTGAAGGAAATTCATTTCATTTCCCAGTTGTCACAATGTGTTCTACTTCATTTTCCAAAATATTTGTTTAACTCAGTATCATATATGGTGTACCAATGATTGAAGAGATAGGAAATTAATGCTCTCGCTGTTTTCAAGGCAAGTAAGTATTTTCTCCTGTTTCTGGGAAGGAAACTAAGGGCACTGGGAGTATGTTTTTGTGTTAAAGGACTTGATAGAAGACTGAAAATGTTTGTCTTTAAGCTACCTTTCTTTGTGGTCTACTTTCCTCTGTAATGTAAACCCAAGATGAGAGGATGCATGTTATCTTTGATTATGTACTATGCTTGTTATGTTTTAATAAAGTTTGGGTTAAAACTTGTCTTATTCACATTTCTCTTCTTAAATGGAGAGTAACATTTTGCCTAGGTGGTTGCCCTCTTTGGATCTCTGTCACCCCAAAAGCTGACCTTCAAATTCCATCATAAATTAGAACAGCTTCATCATTGGAATAAGGAAAGCCTAACAATGTACCTGCATTTGTTTTGTTACAACAAACTCAACAAAGACTCCCAGTTTCTGTCTCCAGGCATACAATATTAAAAGACAAATTTAGCAAGGTCTGTTTTTACAACCAGGATCCAAATCACCAGGTCTTTTTTTCTTTCAGAAACAACATTTCCAATTTTTAAAAAAGGAAGGTTTTTTGCCAGTTTCCAGCATTCTTTGACAATGTCCCACAAAACTGCCCATTTGGAAGAATGGGCTTGAACTTACAATCATTGTATTCATGTACCAACCATGGATTTATTTAATAACCACCACAAACATCATAACATCAGGTCTGATCATGTGGGTGCCTCAACTTATGAGCATGTCTTACAACTAGAAATCCAGTCTCAATGTGGTTGTAAATCAAGGACAGTAATAAGCATACCTTACTAGGACCATCCACACTATTTCACAAGTTGCATTAGTTGCTGGTACAGATACAATTCAAGGTGCTGGTCATCACACATAAAGTTCTACATGACATAGGGTCAAGTCATTTAAGGGGCTGCCTGGTTCCCATTGTTTCTACCCATCTGGGAAAAAATGGCAGAGTTTGTATCCTTTACATCTCTCAAACAAAATTATCTATTGGATCCATCTATTTGTCATGACAGTTATCCTCTAGAATAGGGGTGTCAAACTCCCAGCCCACGCACTGGCCACACCCTGTTTAGTGAAGGGGGAAAAAGACACAATATGTGACGCCACTGTTATGACATGAGTTTGACACCCCTGCTCTAGAATGTAGTTACTACCCTGATGGCATTCCAGAAGACCTTGAAAACCCAGCTGTTCGCCTGTCTTGGGGAAGGGTGGTGATGGTCCCCTGGTCAGATTTCTGGCATATAGAGTGCATTGTGCAATTATATTTTGTAATCTGTTTTTTTACATTGTGAGCTGCCCAAAGTCCAGTGGTGTCTAAATAATGAAATCATGTTTTAAAATGGGAAGCAGATAAACATCTTACTCTTCCTTGAGTAGCTCTTCAAATGTTTGAGTTATACAACAAAAAAATACACACACACACGAAATCTCATTTAGCAAGAACGTTAGTTAAGAATATTTATTAAGTTCAGCAACAGTCATAGACTCCCCCAAACTGCATAATAAATACCTTAGTAATTAGTGTTATCTATCCATGTATGCATATTTCGTGCGAAGAACCACCTTATTCTATCCCAGTGTTTCTTAACTACAACAACTTTAAAATATTACATGCTGGCTGGGAAATTCACATCTAAAAGTTGCTGAAATTGGCAAATACTACTCTATGATACATAGGGATCCTATGCTACCTTTCCCTGCCTTTGGGGAAAATTAATACTGTTGATTATAGAATGTGACTGGAAAGGTTCAAATTGATAGTACAGTGGTCTACGCACCCTGTTATTAACACAGCTGCCTGCAATTTACTGCTGGTTCGAATCTCTCCAAGGCTCAAGGTTGACTCAGCCTTCCATCCTTTCTAAGGTAGGTGAAATGAGGACCCAGTTTGTGGGGGCAATAAGCTTACTTTGTATAAAAATATACAAAAGTATGAAGGCTATTGCTTAATGCATTGTAAGCTGCCCTGAGTCTCCGGAGAAGGGCGGCATATAAATCAAAAAATTTTTTAAAAAAATTCAATCCCACCATGAATTTATTAGGTAATCCTGGACCAGTCAATTTTTCTTGGCTTCACCTAGATTATAGGACTGTTACGAAGATGATAAGGGAGGTATGGAGAAAAACATGCATACTACTCAACACTCCTTGGAAAAAGCATAGGAAAAATATAACATGTAACAAAAATATAACACAGATTGTGATAATAATGGTATGGGAACAGGAGGGAAATGTGTCCATTTTTGTTGTACTGTATGATTTTGCTGTGGCTATTCCTGTATTCCTTACACCATGGAATGTTACCACAGTCAGAACAATTTTGCAGCACTGATGCTAAAGCTGTTTATGATCAGCTGTTGAGATTCAAATGCCATTGCTGAGTTTCAGCTACATCAGCAAGAAATTCAGAAACAAGCTGTTCCCCCCCACCCTATTGAATTAGAGGTTATATTGAAATTCTGTAAACAGAACTCCTGGTACATTTTTCTTTCTTCAAAAGTAAGTTTTGGGGCAAAGAATGCAGTGTCACCATATAAATCAAATAGGTTGCACAAAAACATGTATTTATCATTATTGTAAACCATTTTTAAACAATTGCAAATTTGAATGTGGGGAGCAACTGAAAGTAATTTACAATACATTAAATTAGGGAACTTTAACCCTTCCCTTCCCTACAGCAATTCCATATTCCTCAAGTGATTAGTAGCCAGGGATGAGGCAACAAAAGTAATGAAAAAGAGACTGCTGAAACTTGCACCTGGAAATCATGAATCCTTTAAAGAACATTCTGATAATGTATCTAGAATGCACTTGTTGACTGAAAAATACAATGGACTGAGCCCTGAAGCTTCAACATGTAAAGGAAACTTTCCCCTCTGGGTATCCTCCAGGCATTGCTTCTCAGTTGTTGTTGTTTTGATACAATCAAGCATAGGTGAACTCTGGTTCCTCTAGGGTTGGAGAGTTAAAATCAAGCATATCTGAAAGTACCACATTGGGAAGAAACTAATTCAAAGAATATTCTTAACCAGTGTCATAGGGAAGGGATGCTACCATGGACCTCACCCAAAAAGTAGTTCAGTATTTGAAATGATCAGATAGTTCGATATTTTTCACTCCAAGCAGTAAAATTAGTCAGACATAATGAAATACCAAATGTTATTTCAGGGGTAGGAATGATATTGACTTAAGATGTGTGGAAGGGATTTCAAATAAATATTGTCTTCAGACCATTAATGGCTCTTCAGATCTTTTAAAAGCTGTTTCAGTATCATTTCAAAGAAAGGTTAGAAGTGGACAACCAGCAGCAAAGAGGATGGAATGTTAGTGGTGATGAATGTACCATTGAAAGATCAGAAAAAGCAGGCTAGTGACTGATCCTCATAGAGAAAATCTTTCTGTGTCTGCTAGGAGTTGAAAATGACTTGCTGGCACATAATCTGTATCAATGGATACAAGGTTTCCTGAATTTGAATACTGAATTTGAAACAGTTATTGGCAACCAGAAGTTTGAACAGAGTGTTCTCATTCATACTCACGCACAATCTCCATCAGCTGGTAATCCTCATTTTTCCATGAATCTCATTCCTGATGATTTACAACACCAAATACTGAAACAGTACCAATGTCCCAGTAACTAAAAATTTTGGTACACTGCCTTATCACTTATGTCTATGTCTTCTTTGCTCTGAATTTTATGCAACATGCATTAAAACTCATACATGTCAGTGGTGGGTTGCTCACGGTTCGCCCCGGTTTGGGCGAATCAGTAGTGGTGGTGGTGGTGGTGGGAGGCTCCGCCCACTCATCATTAAAAATGCTCTGTGCGTATGCAGAAGCACCGTGCGCTACCGATAGCGAATTGATAGCGTGGAATTTAAATCCCACTACTGATACATGTATGTGCCACTTTTTTCTGCAAGCTGAAATGGAAAATATCAGGATTTCCCCAAAATTTATTTCAGCAAATTCTGTATGACAGACGAGTTAAAAGAGAATAACTGATTAAATACTACCTCACAAGTTCTATGGCTGAACAAAGATTTAAACTTGGATTTCTCCATCCACGTGCAGTTCCTTAGCTGCTAAAAAGCAGGACCAGCTAGCTCTTAATAAATGCTTATAAAGAGAGCTTCAGGATTAACATGTTAATTCTATCCCAGTGTTGTGACTTGAAGACCAAGCAAGAATTTGTAGAACACAGTAGTAAATTATAATGCTATAATGAGTACGTCAATTTCAAAGACACCACAAAACATTTTATTTTTCTGCAGAATTATTATAACAAAGATCACTGGATCGCTAGAAGCTGTCTATAGTCTAGAACTGAAAAGTCTTTGCAATTTATACCTATTACCAGTTCTTGGAAGTGATCAATTGAAACCTAGTAATTTTGTCAGGAAGCACAATCTAACAATATTTTTTGGGACAGAGAATGGCCCATGAGGATCACAATCTGCTAGTGGGGAGGGAAAGTAGTATTTGTCAACCTTGGCAACTTTAAGAGATGTGGACTTCAAGTGTCAGAATTCCCAGGGACTCAGAACTCCCAGAAGTCCACATCTCTTAAAGTTGGCAAGGTTGATAAACACTGCCCCAACAGATTATCACTGTTTTTACTTTTGAGGTATGCTCTGGTAACTTCTGAAAGTTACCTCTCTCTTCAAAGTGCCAAACTGGTAATAACCAAATGTTGGTTAAAAAAAAAGAGAGATATGAAGAGGATATTTATTTATTTATTTATTTATTTATTTATTTATTTATTAAATTTATATACCGCCCTATTCCTAAGGGACTCAGGGCGGTGAACAGCGAACGATAAAAATACATGTAATACAAACGTTAATAATAAAAAACCAATTAAAATATACTAAACATTCTGGTCCTAGATAATTCAAGACATCCCAGTTTAAAATAAAATCAAAAAGCAATATAAAGGGAAAGTTAGGCCAGGCCGGCCTGCTGAAACAGGAATGTTTGGAGGGCACGGCGGAAAGTGCGCAGATCCGGAATCTTCTGTATCTCTGGGGGGAGCTCGTTCCAGATGGTGGGTGCCCCCACAGAAAAGGCTCTCCCCCTGGGGGCCGCCAGTCAACATTGTTTGGCTGACGGCACCCTGAGAAGCCCCTCTCTATGGGAGCGTACTGGGCGGTGAGAGGCTATTGGTGGCAGAAGGCGGTCTCGTAAGTACCCCGGTCCTAAGCCATGGAGTGCTCTAAAGGTGGT